CTTCTACATTGCTGGAAGAACTGTAAAATGGTGTAACTCCTGTGGAAAATGGTATGATGCTTCCTCAAAAACATTGGAAATAGAAATAGTGTATGACCCAAGAATCCCTCTACTTGGTAAATATTCACAAGAAATAAGAGCCATGACACAAGTAAATATATGTACACTGAAGTTCATCACAGCACTATTTACAATAGAAAAAAGAGGGAGACATCCGAAATGCCTAAGATTGGAAGAATGGATAAACAAACTTTGGTAATACACATAATGGAATACTATGCAATGCTGAAGAATAATGATAAATCTATGAAACATCTCATAACATGGATAAACCAGGAGGACTTTATGCTGAGTGAAATTAGTCTATCACAAAGGAGCAAAAATTGCATGAAACCACTGTTGTAAAAACTCAAGAAAAAATCTTCATGCTAAAAGAAACATTCTTTGATGGTAACCAGGGGTGAGTGGAAAGGGAGAGTAATAGAGGGTAGATACATGAGCTCAGGTGATGGGGAGGGCAAAGTGCAGGGAGAAGACAGGTGAAGATATAGGGAGACATGCTGGAGCTAAAGGCAATAGTGGTAAATAGTCCTATATGAATAGAGATACAAGCTGAATGGGTATAGGATGGGGGTATAGCCACAAGCACACAAATACAAAGACGATATTTGTACATGAATAAATACCTTGGCTGCAAACACACCTATAAATGTGATGGAGCATACGTGAGGCAAATTGATGAAAAATTCTTAGATATTATCAAACATATTAAGGCAATGAGTTCCTGAGCTTAGGATCCCAGGACCACGGTGTCAGGAGACACCGTGGTCAAATGGCATAACATAGTCCACAAAGATAATGTTCTACATCCTACTTTGTTGAGTAGCGGCTGGGATTTTAAAACTCATGAGAAGTCATCTAAGGTGCAACTATTGGTCTCTCAATGTGCAGAATAAAGAAGAGTGTTGAAAACTGAAGATGATTGGAATCAACTAGACCAATTGACTCAGTCACCATGATTCTGAGGCCAGAAGAACTCGATGGTGCCTGGATACCACTACCAATGGCTCTGAAAGGATAACATTAGAAAGTCCCAGATAGGAACAAAACTGAAAATTATTTTTTTAAAAAAAGAAAAGACTGGACTTATTGG